GGCTAATTTTTTCTGTTTTTAGTATTTTTAGTGGAGGTGGGGTCTCGCTCTTGCTCAGGCTTGTCTAGAACTCCTGACCTCAAGCAATCTTCCTACCTCGGCCTCCCAGAATGCTAGGATTCCCATATTTCTTTGTTTTTTTAAAATCAGATGACACCAGCTTTAAGCCCCCATTGGCTGAGAGTCACTGAGACTTCTAATATCTGGCATTTTTTTTTGTGGCTCCTCCTTGTCCCTGGGTTTGTACCAGGACTGTGGGGCTTACACAGTCCAGGCCAAATGGAACTGCCCACATCAGCTGCTCTCAGAGGCTTCCACTATAGTACTCAGTGGTCCATGCAAAAGCAGCTGGCCTTACTGGCTATATCTGCTGCCCCGGAGCCAGGCTGAGCAGCAGGATCTCTCCTGTGGCTCCAGAGGCTGAAGGGAAAAGTTCTGGTGCTTGGTGCCCGGGCATGCCCATCACCACACCACAGTCCCAAGGCCTGCCCAATGGGGCTCTATATGAGTGGGGACATCAATGCTTTTCTGGGAACCTGGTCCTCCTTCTCACCCTTAGGGGACTCCAACCTTCCCCTCTGGGAGAAAGTATTCCAGTTCTCCAGAGTTTGCATGCAGGGAGTCTGGAGGACAAATGTGGCCCTCAGATGTGTTTTGTTTGGCCAATGTGATGTTATTAACATTTAAAAAAATCCCATAGCAACATTTAAACATTGGGAGATGTCAAATAATTTCTGCAATCTAGACCCAAGTTGCTGCATGTAAACCACTGGCTGGAGCTGAGCAAGGACTGCCCCTCTGGGCAAGTCATGCACTCTTTGGTTGGCCACATCTGTAGTGTTACCTCTGCCTGGACCCTGAAGTCCTTTGAGCTTGAGACCCTGGCCTAGGCTTTTGAAAACAAAGCCTTTTTGATATTTCATCCTGCCCTCAAACAAAAAAACACTGTTAACTCACTCTTGAGGGCAAGCATGTCCCAAACTCAAGCATGCCAAGCCCAGCTGCTCTTTTGTGCCTGAGGTGGTGGGGGTGGGGGTGGGGTGGCATTTGGGTGGGTGAGTATGGGTAGGGGGTGACAACAGTAGATAAAATTACTTGTTCATTCTCTGCCAGTGAATCTAGCAGCAAATAAGCAAGGCATGGACTGAACTCTCCATAACTCATACATATTTATTTAGCACTGATTTAATTCAGCCTCATGGTGTGTCATTTTTAACAACGATATTAATAGCTAACATTCACTGGATCCTTACCAGGTTCCAGTCCCGGGTAAAATACCTTATAAATACTATCTCGTTGAATTCTTTAGAAATTGCTCCGAATCAAATGGCTCAGCGGCCAGAAGGAGGGGGTGGGGATGAACACGGGAAACAGGAGCTGATGATGCAGCTCAAAGGCAGAAGGGAGGTAGGTGCAAGCCCGAGGGTCAGAGAAGCGGCCCAGACTCTGGCCCCAGGGCTCTCTGACAGACCCAGGTGTGTGGAGGACTCAGCTGGTTCTGTGGAGGCCACCGCACCTGGCTGTTTCGCTCCCTCTGGTCCGCTCCACCGCTATTTCTGGTTAGTGTGTCTCGACCTCGGTCCCCCCAGGTCGCTGCCTCTCAATCTGCACTCATCCCTAGCCTCTCCCCGCTGGCATCTGCAGCGATTCCCCCACCTGGCGCGCTCCCCGCAGCCACGTGACCCGCGCGTAAACCGCAGGACTCTTCCCACCTACGCCCCCCCGCCCCCCCGCCAGGCAGCCGGCTCCGGCTCTGGCTCTGCAGAGGCCGCAGGCCGCGCATGCGCAGCTCCGGGCGCACCTGCGCGCCGGCCGGCTCTGGCTGTAAGCCAGCCCTGCGCATCCTGGGGCGGCGCTGGTCCCCGCCGGCGGGCCTTGGACCTGTCTGGGCCTAAAGTCCCAAAGGATTTGGGTTCTCATTGCTGATACGCTCCCAATGAGCCGGCCGCAAAGCCAAAGCCTCTCCTTAGGTCAAGGCACTGGGCCTGTGACCGGGGCGCAGGATGTTCTCCCCTGGGCATTAGGAAGTCAGAGTGTGAGTCTCAGGTCAGTGCTTAGAGCCATGTGATCTTGGACAAGTGACTTGACCTCCCTATGTCCCAGGAAAATGGGGATAATAATAGCATCCTCCTCATAGGGCTGTAGTGAGAATCCAGTGAAAATTCATGAGAGCTCTTTGCCTTGTGCCTGGCATGTATCAAACTCTCAGTAAATGCAAATAAGGAACACAGAGAAAAGGGTACCATGTGATGGCTGAGGGAGGATTTCACCCTTTTGTGTAGGTCATCTCGCTAGCTCCTCAGAGTCAGGCTACTGGAGAGGCCTGGAGGTTTTATTTGTTCTCGTTTCACAAATGGGGAAACCAAGGCTCAGAGATGTCAAGAGATCTTCAACCAAGTCTTGGATCCATATCCAGGGTGATTCCAACCCGACACTCCAGAGTCAGGGGTTCCTAGGTGAGTTTCACAGTCTGTCTCCCACTTGCTCTTTCAACCATCCCATTTAACATCCCTTCTGATTTTTGAACATCTCAGTTACACGTCTACAGGAAAGGATTTCTTTTTTGGGCCTTCCTTCTGAAGAAAATAAGAAGCTGCTATATTTTATTTGCTTTGACATTTAAGAAGGTCCCTGCACATAGATCCAAGGCCACTCAGAAGTCCTGGAGCCCTGCAGCAAGGCCTACCCCTGAGGGGTCCTCCCTCCTACCCTACCCGGCAGGCTTCTTCCTCCCTATCACACTGGCTGCTCTCTGTTCCTGGAAGAGCCAAACTTCTTTCTGCCACTGAGTTTTTGCACTTACTGAATATCTGCCTAGACACTCTCCCAGTCCCCTCTTGCCAGCTTTCCGAAGCCTGCTCAGACTGCATCCCAGCTGGTCCCCTGGGCCAGGTGCTCCATTATCCACTCTCACAACCACCGCTGTGTCTGCTTCAGCACTTGTCAGATCACTAACTCAACGTGTGTGTGTGACTCCTTGAGTCCTCACTGTCTCCTCAGCTAGATACCAGCTTCTTGAGGGCTGTAGTCTCTGTCTTACTGCACTCTTAAACCCTTGTCAACCATGCACTGACTGTATGAATGATAATAGGAGCCTTGGCCATCCCTACCCCTTAGCACTAAGGAATTTTCCAGCTTCTAATTTATATTTTCATGGCAGATGCAGAAGCCATGGACTCTGCTGACATGTGCCAGCTGGCGAAGGAGGGAGCATGTGGCATCAGGAGTGCATCCTAGATACCCCTCCCCCTTGACACATTATCTCCTCCTGCTCCAAGTGCACCCAGAGCCTATCAATGTTTCCCAGGCAAAAGGTAGGGCTGAAATATGAAGAGATGACAAATTAACTCTTTCTCTATCTGTGAAGATATATGAAGATTCTATTGGGGTAGATCAGGGTAGGGGTGAGAAGATGGTCAAGTCATGTGGCCTCTTGTCCTGAATCAGCCACCATTCAATGCTGTGACTTTGGAAAATTCCTCCTTAGTCCTCAGCTTCTTTTCTTGTTGCTCAGTATAAACCAATGGTTCAGAATTCAGATTCTAGAACTGGATCTTTCCTTTGTCACTAACAAAGCACTTATTGTCTCTGAATCTCAATTTCCTCATCTGTACATTATTACATTTCTTATTTCATTTTATTTTTTTGGGAGACAGAGTCTTACTTTGTTACCCAGGCTAGAGTGAGTGCCGTGGCATCAGTCTAGCTCACAGCAACCTCAAACTCCTAGGCTCAAGCAATCCTTCTGCCTCAGCCTCCTGAGTAGCTGGGACTACAGGCATGTGCCACCATGCCTGGCTAATTTTTTCTATATATTTTTATTTGGCCAATTAATTTCTTTTTCTATTTTTAGTAGAGACCAGGTCTCCCTCTTGGTCAGGCTGGTCTCGAACTCCTGACCTTGAGCGATCCTCCCATCTTGGTGTCCCAGAGTGCTAGGATTACAGGCATGAGCCACCACACCCAGCCTATTACATTTCTTAATATGAAGAAAAGAACCGAGCTCACAGAGCTGTTCCAATCATTTAATGAGTATTCATTGGTTTTATTACTACTAGCTCTCCTGTACTTTGTGATTTTTAATTTGATTAACTTGTTTGTTTTTCTCTGACACCAAAAGCAAGCCCTGCCCCCTATTCCAATAACAACATCTCCCATCAACAGAGTCTGGTGAAAACTAACCTGGGACCACTTTGGTAAATGTGAACTCCAGGAAGGAGATACTGAGATCAGAGTCCGTTCCACAGTATATTCCTATCAGATTTGTGATGTAGAAACTTCTAGACTCTGAGCATCCCAAGATCAGGATCAGAATCTGTCTTGTACACAGTTATACCTCCAGTGCCCAGAATAGTGGCTTACCCGTAGTAGTGGGAGAATAAAAAATATTAGCTAATCAATGACACACGGCCTGCCACAAGTCTAGTGCTTTTTCCAGTATCTCTGAGCCTCAGTTTTTTGATCTGAAAAATGAAGATTAAAACCAATACCCAGTTATTGTGACAATTTAATAAGATGATGCCTGTAAGGCACGGACTTAGAGGCACAGTGAGAGCTCAGTGAATGGTAGATCTATGGATCCAGGTACCTGGAGAGATAAGAGATGGTGTCGATGTACCCCAGGTGAGGTTGTGGCTGGGGGTGGGTACTACTAGTGAGAGATCTAGCTTGCGAGCTCCTTCTGTGGGCAGAGGAAAAATGGAAGGCTCCCAAGAAGAGGAAAGACGGGTTTCAAGAAGACGGAGCGTGTCAGCAGCCTGTGGCCAGGGACTCGGGTGTTGAGCTGGCAACTGAGGGGACTTTAGGACCCTGCGCACCGAACGCGCGCGGCGCCTGAGGTGAGGAGGAGGGAGAGGCTCCCGCACCAGCCAGGGGCCGCCTCGCGCCCGGCCGCATCCCAGAGGGCGGGGCCGAGGCCCCCGGGCCACAGTGCGATTGGCGCAGGCGCGCGGGTGACGCTAACGACTGGCACGAGGCCCCGCCCCCGGCCGGCCCCGCCTCCGCGCGCTCCGGCGGCTGGCAGCCTCGCTCTGGCTCGCGCCGCGCCCCCGCGCCGAGCTCGCGCGTCAGTCGGTCCCGAGAGCGGCTGCGGGGCGGTGAGCTGCAGCCAGCCGAGCGCGCCGACCTGAGGAGGCGGTGGTGTCCGCGGGCGTCGCGTGAGGAGGGTCGGAGCCCGGAGACTCGCGCAGCGCCATGGCCCCCATTGGCCTCAAAGCCGTGGTCGGGGAGAGTAAGTGCGGTGGGGTCCCTCCGTCAGGCGGGGGCTGCGGCTGCCCAGGCGAGCCCGGCGCGGTACCTGCCCGCAGCGCCCCGGCCTCCGCAGCCGGCTGTTCGCCCCCTTCCCTCGGCCGGAGGCCCCTGGCCTGCAGGGTCCCGTTATTCAGGCGCCGCCCTCCCTGGGGGGAAGTCCCTCCTGGCGGCCTGGCCCGCTCCCCTCCGCTGTCCGCTTTCCGCGGGCTCCTTTCCCCCACCCCTCACCTTTCACCCTTCCCCTCATCCCGCCCCTCCTCCTTCACCAAGTCTTCCTCCATCGCCATCCCTCCATTCCCTTTTTACCTCCATCCCCTTTCACGTCCATCACTCACTCCATCCCTCCCTCCTCTTCTCCCCCGTTTCTCTCCCCTGCTCCCCATCCCTCCCGCTTCACCCCATCCCCCAACCCCTCTTCCACCCCCTCTGCCTCCCGCACCCCGTCCCCGCCCCTTCACCCCGCCTTTACCCCCTGCAGCCATCCCCCTTCCCTGCACCCCCGTTCTCCGGCACCCTCGTAGCCTTCGCCCCCATTTCCCCTCTCCCCTCCCGTGCTGCCTTTATTCCCTGAGCTCCCTCACTCCGCTCCTTTTTCCTTCTCCAGCCCCTCCTTCCTCCCCACCCTCCTTCGGGAGTCGTGACGAGCGAAATCCCGGCCGCGTCCTCCTCCCCGCCCTCCCCGCGCGGGGCGCCGAGCCGCGGTCCGGGCTGCGGAGACCTACCTGGGAGCGGCCGGGGCGGGGACGCCTGTTTTCCTGAGGCTTAGCTCCGCGCGGCTCAGGCCGCCTCACCCCTCCCCTTCCCGGGGCTCGGCCTCAAGGGCGGGGTCTCCTCGGGGTCCTGAGCCCTCTTAGATCGCTCGGGAGATGAGGGAAGCCTGGGTGTCAGCTGGCGGGGCGGCCCTGCCCAGCACCGCAGTCTGCAGTCTCGCTGTTTGCCGGACTCAGCCCGCCTGGAGCACCGTTTCGGGCGGCTCAGACAGATGCTGCAGGGGGGAAATGGTTGTTTATGGGTTTGGATGAAAGGCATAACATGAATGGATTTTAAAAAATGGGTGATGGTAGGTGTCGGGGGCCAAGTGGTGGCTGATGTTGGGTAATATTTGGAAAACGGCTTCCTCAGTTCTAAAAAAGATGGGTGACATGTGAAGAAAAATAGTGGCTCTTTAATATTTTGGCTGTTTCTTCATAACAAAAATATGTGTAAGGATTTTTGTGGCTTTTGTTAACTCTTTTTGGATTAAGAGAAAATTAAAACTGGGCTCATCTCTGTAGGAGACAATAAGAAAGAAAAAATAAAAATGGTGGAAATTTACAGTTTCCTTTCCAATGATTCTTTCCGATTATAGCTCATGCTCTCTTACTGTTTCCTCTCGATGCTTTTGGCTGTGAACAGTCATTATTTTGAGGATCAGAATTGTTTTGTTTCTCCTTCCCATTCTTTTCATTGATATATAGGAAATATTCCTACTGAGGAATCTTTTTGTACAACTTTACTTGACCTATTGCATCAGAAGAAAAATTATTGTAAAAACTGAACTCTAAATAAATAATTTATTACACCCTTCTCCCCAAATAAATAATTTTTAAAAAGTACTCACCTGCCTTACCCATTGCTGGAAAAGCCACAGACAACAATCCTTACACAATTTTTGTTATAAATATTGAAGAGGCACTATTTTTCTTCATATCATCGATTTTTTTTTTTTTTAGAACTTGAAGAAGATGTTTTCTGAATATTACCCAACATCATCCCTCACTCTGCTGCAGCCGGCACCCACCATCACCCATTTTTTAAAATCCATTCATGTTTTGCTTTTCATCCAAACCCATAGACAACCATTTCCTCCCTGCAGTAAAGGTTAGGATACTTGTACCCTCTGTTTTCTATGGAGAATTGAAGTGTTTAGATAGAGCTGGGAGGACCCATAGGGATCCTTCTATGTCAGCACCCTCATCTTACCCCCGGGAAAGAAGTGGAGACTTGGAGCAGTTAAATGACTTGCCAAAGTCAGTGTTAATTAATATTTTAAAACCTGGTGTTCATTTCTTTGCAAGACTAGAAAAAAAACCAACTTTCTTCATTGTTCTCTATATACCATTTGTTTATAATACCCTTTTGAAGGGTTTTGAAATATGAAATGGAATGTTACATGTTACATTCTTTAAAATATTATATTTAAATACCACATATTGAAGATCAAACCCTCAAATGTTAAATCAAGTTTTTGCATTCTTTTGTCAGGACCCTTATTCATGCAGGTTGCTCCTTAATCCCCCTCACCTATCTATTCGTAAAGGTTTAAAAAAATTAATATACAGTATGGCCAAAATTTATTTTCTGAAATAAAGCAAAGCCCACTGTATACAAAAATAAAACCAAACTAATATTACATAAAATTGGTGAATATGTGAACAATTTTCTATTCCTATAACATTAAGTTGGGTATAAATTTTGGGAGAAAATATCATTGCAGTCCTTGTCAGAGCCAGATCAATTCTGGCTCCTAATTTTGGATGGAGTTTCTATCTTTGCTTTTTTCTTTACAAAATAAAAGTAAAGATGTTTTTTAACTTCTCTGCACCAGTTTAAATGTCACCTTCACAACGGGCCTTCCCAGTGTGAATTAACAACCCATAGTCACTATTTATCATATATTTTCATGATAAATGAAAATGTTTATTTTCTTCTTAGCAATTAAAATTATCTTGTTCAGTTTCTTTTTCTCTTTTTGGTAGTTGATTGTTTAATCCACTTGAATGTTACTTCCATGAGAGCAGGGTGTTTATCTGACATGGTCTGGTACTAAGAACAGTGGCTGGCTCATAGTCCACATGATAAATATTTGTTGAATGAATGAATATTACTAAGGATATGAAGAAGAGCAAGATAAATGTAGTTTGGGGCTCCTTATCCTTTCTGTGTTGAGTTTATTAAGTGGTGAGTAGCTACAGGTACAGCAAAATAAGAGGAAGTGGGTTAACTTTAGCTGTTCATTCAACAAACATTTGTTCAGAGCCTGCTAGGAACTATAAGGATACAGAGATAAGTAAAACATGAGGCTACTTGCATGCTGTCGTGACAAACATAGAGAAAGTTTTCCCTGTCATTTCTCCAAACACACTTAGGGCATACTCAGTGTATTGCACTTATTTGTGTTGGTCTTGACCATCTAGATTATAAGTTTCTTCAGGGTAGAATAGGACCTTGTTATATTCACATGTCTATCTTCAGTGCATGAATTAGTGCCCAGCACTCCATTAATGTTAAACGAATGAAAAGTATAAAGTAGAAAAATTAAGAGGAAGGGCTCTGGAATTAGACTACCTGGGATAAAAATCTGACTCTTTACTAGCTGTGTGACTTTGACAGTTAATCGTATCTTTTTGTGCTTCAATGTCTTCATTTGCAAAATGAGTAATAATAGCACCTATCTTGTGGAGTTTTATGAGTATTAAATGAGATGATGCAGATACAGCATTTAGCTCTGTTCTTGGCACATAGTAAATTAGGTAGATATTATTATGAAAAGATCCATAGAAGTCAGTAAAAGTATTAGGGGATTTGGCAAAGAGAGAGACTTCCTCTGTCCCTTGAAGCCGTGGTTTTGGGGGAGAAAGTGGAGTATTGGATAAAGTCCTTGAAGAAGGTACAAATGAATTAGAAAATGGAAGAATCAAATTGAGGAATATATGGACAAATTTGTAGCCAGACCTCAACTTGTTTCCTGTTCTACTTATTTTTTTACTTTTGACTCTGGTATTTTTTTCCTCTATAAAATGTAGTTTTCTGCTCTCTATTTTGCCAGGAGGTTGTAAGAGAAAGGAGAATTGCATTTTTTCCTGGCAACTATATATGCTAATATCTGATATTTCTATTATGTAAATCCATATTGTAGTCCAGAGTTTACCCCGTTCACTGAAATTTTGTCAGTGTGTTTACAAAGATGTCAGAATTCCAAGATGTACTATGTTTTTCTTATTTCCTAGACATTACCAATTTCTCTTCATGTTCTTTTATGAGAATCACATTTCTTTTAGAAAAGAATGTAGTTTTAATTTGTGGGTTAAATACATATCTTTGTCAGATTGGGGCCATGATTCATGATTCATGAGAGGTCACCTAGATTGAAGCAATTTTCATTCTTCATTTTTTTCTTTTTTTTTTTTTTTTGAGACAGAGTCTCACTTTGTTGCCCAGGCTAGAGTGAGTGCCATGGCATCAGCCTAGCTCACAGCAACCTCAAACTCCTGGGCTCAAGCAATCCTCCTGCCTCAGCCTCTCGAGTAGCTGGGACTACAGGCATATGCCACCATGTCTGGCTAATTTTTTCTATATATATTAGTTGGCCAATTAATTTATTTCTATTTATAGTAGAGATGGGGCCTTGCTCTTGCTCAGGCTGGTTTCCAACCCCTGACCTTGAGCAATCCTTCCGCCTCAGCCTCCCAGAGTGCTAGGATTACAGGCGTGAGCCACCTCGCCCGGCCTCCCCATTCATTCTTATACTTTTTTTTTTTTTTTTTTTTTTTTTTTTTTTTTTTTTTTTTTTGAGACAGAGTCTCACTTTGTTGCCCAGGCTAGAGTGAGTGCCATGGCATCAGCCTAGCTCACAGCAACCTCAAACTCCTGGGCTTGAGTGATCCTTCTGCCTCAGCCTCCCGAGTAGCTGGGACTACAGGCATGCGCCACCATGCCCGGCTAATTTTTTAAATATATATCAGTTGGCCAATTAATTTCTTTCTATTTATAGTAGAGACGGGGTCTCGCTCTTGCTCAGGCTGGTTTTGAACTCCTGACCTCGAGCAATCCGCCCGCCTCGGCCTCCCAAGAGCTAGGATTACAGGCGTGAGCCACAGTGCCCGGCCCATTCTTATACTTTTTAAAATGTTAGAGACCTTTGGTTAGCATGCAGATAACAGATATGGTTTTGAACTATATTAAATACATGTTGTATTTTTTCCAGTTTTTAAATTAAAG